CCACCACCACAGCCACCCCACTTTCATCTCTGCCCACACTAACCCCCAAAGATCCTTTATGTCAACACACATTCCCCCTGGAGGTATTTGTTTTGCCATCGTCAGCAACCCCCTGACCGCCCCCCAAATAATTAACGTCACACACTATAGTGCTGTTAAAAGACATACACAGAACAGAGACTGATTATAAGCCATTGCGGGGGCTTAATGAACCCCCTCCCAGATAATCTGGGAGATGGCCTCAACCTCCCTAGGGATGGATATCCTCTGAGATTTTAAGCACATTGCAACTCAGCCAACAGATGGTACTGACACACCCCCTGAAATGACAAACAGCCAATCAGGACCCACATCAGAGGAGACAACTTCAGTTACTGGCTATATATATATATATATATAGTCAGCTGCTGGGACATCATGTTTGTTTTATTAAGACCTTGAATGTTATCATTAAGCTGTAACCTGGTCTGAAGATGCATATGGACATTCTGCACATCAGAGAACATCTGGATGGGTTTTTAAATGCAAAAATATCTTGCATTAAATTCCCAAGTAATGATCGAGTCATTTCACATCACAGCAGCAGTGTAGATTAACAGTAGCATGATACAAGTTTCGTGTTTTCCAGGTTAATTCACTGATTCGCACGTGCAATTATGCGACTGGATTCCTGATCACGCCAGTCACCCAAGGAAACAGGCCCACCCTCCTGCAGGGAGGAGAACGGGAGGAGGTGACAATGTACTAAACATGTGGGGCCTGGATGGTGCTCACTGGCCTCCGGTAGTCCAACACCAATTCCATTCAAACGCTCGGGTTACACATGCAATAGTGTGATGTCGTGAACCTATTGAAGAGTGTGCCACGTTGCTGGAACCCCCGGGGGTCGCCACGCATGCGGAACCCCGTCGTCTCCTCTCTTGGTTTATGCCTTCACGTTCCTCTCACCTCTCTGGAGAAGGAACATGGGCAGGGTTGGGGGAATAACCCATATCAGTGTACCAGTTGGCACACTCTTACCAGTTGAGCATAAAGAGTCACAGTCACAGAGTACTCAACTGGTTGGTTGAAACAAAGCCTTGGTCTGGATATGTACTTTCTGGACCAGAACTGTCTGTAACGGATTACTTTTGTGAGTAACTTCCCAAACACTGATATGGGTTATTCCAGCTGCCCAGGGACACTTAATGTCATCTGTCAGTTTATCAGCTGCCCACAGACTACCTGAGCCATACAACTGGAGGGAAGGCAAAGGGAGGAGTAAATACATAACAATGACACATGAGCCAGTAATGCATGCTACAGAAAGGAGGCTTCCAGGATTCCAGGCAAGGCGGGCTTACAGTATCTAGCACTGTCAATTACCTGAAAGTAGCCAATAGGATGCCGCATGATAACTGACAGAGTAAGAATCACTCTTTTTGGATTTTCTGTATGAATTAAAGTAAAGTAAATGGGAGGTTTGTTGCACAACAGCCCTGAATGTTCATAATGTTGCACTTTCTGGTTACCAAATAGTCTTATTAGGCTCTTGCTTTGTTTGGAAGGTGTTGTGCTGCTCTTGCCCTCACTCCTACACTGCTTATTCTAGTAACTGCATTCTTAGAGGCTTAGAGTTCGTTCCTTGACAGCACATTAGGCACCAGTCAAAAGTTTGAACACACCAAGCCACCTACAAAGGAGAGGGATAGTGTCGCATTACATGATCTGGCCAGCTGACCTAAACCCAGTAGAGATGGTTCTGAAGGCGTTCAACCAGAGAATGAAGGAAAGCGGCCAAACAGTGCTTAGCACATGTATGGGACCTCCTTCAGGAGGCCGCCTCATGGAACTGGTGTAGAGGAGAAAGCAGCCAGTCCCTGGAACAATTAGAGTTAAGGGTCTTGCTCAAGGGCCCAATGGTGGGATCACTTAGTTGATTATGGGATCTGAACCAGCAACCTTCTGAGTCTCAACCCACAGAGCTGCCCCACCCACCAAAATTATTTCTTGTTTAATGCTTTTTTGGTCAGTGCATAACTTCATATGTTATTTTATAGTTTTGATGTCTTTAGAATTATTCTAAAATGTAAAATAGTACAAATAAACATTTTGATGGGTGGGTGTGTCCAAACTTTTGACTGGTATGTTTGCAATGTGCCTCACTTGTATGTCGCTTTGAACAAAAGCATCTGCAAAATAAAAATGAACGTAAATATACAACGATCCATGGATGCAAAAAGGACTGGAACAAATTCACAAGTGTGCAGCATCAAAACCAGAAACAATCAGAATACGTGACTTAGGTTGATTTTTTGAGGGCGATCTAAGGAAGGAGGCGGAGCCTAAATGAGGCCCATGCCTACCAGGCGATTTGCAGTTTTATGATGACAGGTCGGATCAGATTGGTGAAAACTCCCAGGCGGAGCTGTGAAGATCTCAGATGACCACCCACATCGCCAGTCCTTGGCAAATCCCCCACAAAGATGGGTCCACAACCACAAGAACATCCTCTTCCCTTGCAAACATTACTAACTTAGCAAAACAGCCCAAGTGCACTCTGTCCAGGAGTCTGAATAATTCATACGGGCGACACACACCCAGTCCATTTACAGCTCGGCCTTACGGTCGGCACGGGGGCCATGCGGAGCGATTCACTTCCTTACCATCGTGCCCGCCCGCTACCTGGCAATCAGCGCAAACAGCTAACAGTCCATCTAATCAGTCCTCATTTCCTTTTAATGTAAAGGAATAAGCAAACAAAGCAGAGGCAGATTCAGAGGGCAGATTCAAAGAGGGGCAGAGTGAGACAGAGATGATGCAATCGCCTTCAAAGCGATCCCTATCTGTGTCTGAGATGAGCCTCAGGTCCCAGGAGAGCCTCCCGCGATGATTACAGCGGTTATTATTATCATAGCCATTATAGATCCAGCATCATTACTGTTATAATCTGATCTCCAGCAAGTCTTTGTTG